ATTTTGCATTAAATTTGTCGAACCTATGAAAAGTGTTTCGGTCCTAAAAAATTATAGATTAAAAATAATTAGAAAAAGGTATTAGAATTATAACATACAAATTTGAAAAAATGTTTTTTATATCTTTAAACGTTTTTTATATCTATCTATTTTGTAAGATATTATACATAGAAATTGGAGTAGTAGGAGAAGATCCTTTTCTGAAGATTCTGTATTTCGAAATGTACTATTCGTAAAAAATCGATGCTATTATTAATCAATTAATTAATTATCAATTTTCTTACCGCATGAACATCAAGCATATCTACAGTAAGGTCATAGGTAGTCAAGTTCATAGATTGGAAAAACCTCTTTGAGGGTCATCGGTTTTCCGTTCGTGTGGGTCACGACCTCATCAGCATTTTTTTCAGGGTCTTTTTGATAAACCTCAGTAGATGCTTTTGGTTCATACAAGATGCGGCATGAATGTGAGTGTCTACTTTCCTGAAAATAGAAAAAAATTAGAGATAAAGCTCAATTACTAAGATAGAATAGAAAGATAAAAATGGGGGTTTATTTTTCTGTTATTTTGAACTCTCTTTCCAAATAAACAATTAACATTATTTGCCAAGGTCCTTTCAATGAAATCGGCTCCTTATAATAATAAATACACCAAATAGAATACGAGTTAGAAACAAAAAAATATTTAAAAAAACTATTATAAGGTATATAAAACAATTAAAAGCGAAAAAAAGTTTTAACACTATTTTTAATATTAACTTCCCGTAGGATAAGTTATAGTAATCGCAAAAAGATCAAAAATGAAAATTTGTATATATCTTTACGTTTCAAAGATTTCTGAATATTTTTTGATAAAATATTCATACCTTAGAAAAAATGGATGTATGTGTGTGTGTGGATACAAATTTTCGTCGACGATTTCGGGAACACCGATCAACCGATTTGAATAATTCAAAAACCATTCGATTTGTATTGATAAGGAAACGTGCTGTTTAGTTTTTAGCGAAGGCAGGTCTAACCGTTCCGAAAATGAGGAGCAAAAAGTGCCAAAAACGGTAACTAAGTTTTTTAAGAGAACCGAGCGTCCGATATCAATAATTTAAAAAACATTTTACTTGTATTGACAAGATGAAGAACTCTTCAATTTTCATTTTTGGAAAGGCAGGTCCAGCGGTTATGGACTCTCAATAAAAATAATTTAAAAAAATGTCATTTTGCGGTCAAAAAATATTTATTGGATATATGCACATCAAATTATCAGATATTCTATAGAGATTTTAATAATATGTATACATTTTGTGTAAATTTTTTTGGGTTTCGTACCAAAATTTTTAATTACGGTACGGAAAGTTCCAGCAATTTGCCTTAAGGCACGATGCCATGTACCCCACTAGTTATTATTGTTATTATTGATATAATTTATAAGTTGACTTTATTACCTTATATTATAAAAATCCCGATGAGGCACAGCCTTTTGTGAAGCCAACTCTCTCAATTCATTCAATAACACATGAAGCTGAAATTTCGATGAAAGATAACTCAGGCGTCGATAACAAAATGATTTTCTGAAAATATAAAAAAAAATGAATAAATAATTTGGCTATATAGTGAGTAAATATATATGATGGTCTACATTATAGCGCGATCCAAAACTAATAGCCTTTAATATTTAAATATTGAGTTTGTTACTACTTAGAATATTCTCTTTCTTTTAATTATTTTAAGATAATTTCTACAACATCTAATTCAGTTTTGTTAATTTCATATAACTTCAATATGTATATTTTTACAGAAATGTTATTAACTCACAATGGTCCATCAGCAATCATCGCACACATCATGATCATATCAGCTATAAAAACATCAAGTTTTGGGTATGTGTATGGTAGAGGCACATTGTTGTCAGCATCTTCCTGGTTAGCATAAACCGTAAACACACCATGATCTGGTTTAAAAACGTAATTTTTTGCAGGAGGAAACTCACACTCCCATGGATCGCCTCTGCTGGCAGGAGGATGAACGGGGTGATCTATATAAAGGTAAATTGTTTATAAAATATAGAATAAAATTAAATAGTTGAAACAAAATTGCTAAAAGGACCTTGGAATATAAATTTAAATTCAATAGTTTTTAGGGACATGATTTTGATAAACTAGAGATTCAACTAGAGATTAGATCAAAATTTAATTCTCCAACATTGCTTAAAAATTGAGATATATCTGGTACTTGCAATTGATACTTGCTAAAAAAAAGTACTTTAAATTGAATTTTTACGAGGAATAATTTATCTACTATAAGCTAAGGATGTTATATATATTATTTGGTACATAGCCAAACAATGCTAAAATTCAGAATAACAATTAGCAAAATTTTCTTGAAACTTTTTCAAAATTGGACACAGGGTAAAGACACATTACCAAATTATTTAGCATTTTATTTCGTGCTGAAATGTTAAGAAGATTTGAACTTATATTAAGTATATAACATATACCTTTCAACATATCTTCAATTTCTGCAATACTTTCTGCTTCATGAATGATGTAGGAATCAGTAATATTATTCGTTGTTCTAGAAGCAGACTCTGGGATAAAGGACAGGAAGGAATAAGGAATTTATATTTTTTATTTAATAACTATTACATACTAAGTTCTACTATGAAAGCCTGAATGAATTTTTATAAATATCAGAAGCATATACGAAAACAGTTAATAAAATTGTACATGTACAAATCCATATAGATGCTCCATATGAGTATGGATGGATGTAAATATGTGATTGTTATACTAGCTTATGATAAAAAATTTCATTATTTTTATGAAAAAAAACATTAATAGCTATTAACTTTCATCAGTATCGATAATATTAAAAAAAAGTTGGAATTGATATAGGAAATTGAAAATTAAGGAATGTAAAGTAGGATGGTCAACTAGGAAGTTGGTTATCGATCATTGGAAAAATTCAGAAACCAAAATATGAATTTCAATCAAAAATAATTTTTATAATTTGTACCTTCAATAGTCTTCCGATCTCCATGTTAATATCCGCCTTGTGTTTTGGAGTTCCGGTAGAAAAGATCTGAGGAAACGGGATGTCATTGAAGGAAAACTCTGCCTCGAGTTGGCCATGTAACATTCTCGTATGTGAAGAGCACGAATCAGAAGATTCGATGCTTGTTGCAAATCTTCTAAAGGAACCTATAAGTAAACCAAATCAAATTTAAAAAAAAATATCAGAACGTACATACTTCACATGCACACGCATACGTCCATTTTTCCAGCAAAAGAATGTGGGTTTGGGAACTCATTCATGAAGATCAATTATTATTTTTGTGGATTCGTTTAATTTGGATTTTTGTGGATTACTTCATAAATATGAATTATCATCAACTTACCCCACTGGTGTCTTCTCCACTTATGGACACTCTTTGAAAGTGAGGAACAAAGTCATGTTCCTCCAATTGGAAGGAATCATCGTGATCATCTACGGCGGCGCCCAAAGAGGGTTCATATTGGGAACGCCTGTCCTCAATTCTTTGGCTGCCCTAAAAAATAATAAAAGAAGTTATTGATATCTTGAGTTTTAATATTACTGAATACATAGTCTGTTCTTGGTTAAGATGTAATATTACTGCTCCTTAGAATTAGATAAGTCACGGACAAAATTTGGAAACGCTGTGTCATCCACTTCATTTTTATTCTTGAATTATTTTTCAATATTACTTTCGTATAGGTAAATTGTTAAATAGAAGAAAAATATTATCTTACAATAGGCATAATAATTATAAACAATTTGTGTTCAATTTACCTTGACTAAGTAAGTTGAAACTCTACTTTAGAGAGAAAATTAATAAGAAACAACGTTAGAAATATGTTTTTGAAAGGATAGAAAAAAATCGAAAAAATCTATCAAAAATAATTACAGAAGTACTGCTGAAAATGAGAGAAAGCAGTTCTTTACTAGACAGAATTTAAAAAAAAATCTCCAGAATGAACAAAAATGTTTGAAACATATATTATGAGGTTGAATAGTGCTTTTTTACTTTATGGACACTTCACATAGAGCACTTTTGTCATTATTAATTTTATATTATTAATAAAGAGATGACAGAAAATTTAAAAAACAATAGAAACACATGAACTCAAAAAAAAATATTGATAGCATTATCAAGTATTAGTATAAGATTTGCCATAAAAAAAGAAGTAAGTATTTTTTTATCATATTGATTTGCACCGAAAATCAAATAATCTAATTATGAGTCAAAATCATTCCTTTAAATAAATTAGTGACTCACTTGACATTTAACTGCCTTTGAATTGCCAATTTTTTCTCGATCTGTTCAATGGGAAATTGGGGTACTTCATAAGGTGCCGAAATTTCATTTGGAAGATCAGATTCATCTGGGACTGTAAAGCTCACTCCCTGAGCCAGAAACATTGGGCTTTCGCATCCTTAGGTAATAAATAAATATTAAAAATTAATAATATTAATAGTATTATGGAATATAATATTTAATAGCAATATTTGATTTTGTAAAAGTTTATGATTAATTATGTCGTTTCGTATAAAAAAATATGTGTATACCAATATTAATTAGATTTTTCTATGATATATATTGAATATTTTGTATTTACAGTGAATATAATATTATATCTTAAAATCAAATGTATATTCATAAAATTTAATATATAATAAATTAGTATCAGAAAATAAAATATAAGCTACATGAATTCCATATCATGATTTATAAAATTTATAAAAATAATTTAATTTTTAAAAAATAAATAACATATAATTATGTATTATTTATGTTGTAATCAAAATCAAGTAGGTTTAACTAATTTTTCATTCTTCAGTAATTAAACAATAAAGCTTCTCCTATTACTTCATACTAGAATTATGATTTATTTTAAATTATAATCAATATTTGGCTAAAATTAATCTATTATTTGGAATTATTTTTAAATCCATATAGTATTATTATTACATCACTGATAAATATTTTAATAATGTATTAATTTCTTTATCTATGGTATTAATGATTGTTTAATTATTATAATTAAAGATTAATTGCACTATGATTGTTTTTCTAATTAGTATAATAAAAACGAGTAAAATTACAAAATTAAATATGTAATTAGTAAGCTAATTAATGTATAAAAATGTGTAGTTAATAATAATAAATGTTTGGTGTTATTTTGTCACACACAGTACATATAAAGCAATAAAAAAATTAAATACACATCTCGTAAACATTATGAAATAAATAAAAACACTTCAATCACCAAGCATAAAAATTATATTGGATCTGTTATTTCTTAAGCAAAAAATAATTTTTTCTTAATTTGGGATATAAAATTATAAAAAAATCTGGAAACATTTTTAAATATTATTGCATATATAGTAATAAAAAGTAGATATACATATATAAATACAAACAACAATAAAAGTGAAAGTTTAAGTATAAATATGCATGCCATTCATTTCTGTTGTCTTAAAAATGCATTCATGAGATATTTTTCTTAGTATAACAAATAAATAATTTAATGAAATGTTAATATAAAATCATGACATAATTATTTATTACAATACATATATATTTATTCATTAATAAACATTTCTGCATCGAGACATAGAGGTGCTAATATTCATCTATAAAAAATGTATAAGAAATTAAAATTTTATGTACTATTAGTACACATAGAAAAAACAACATTATAATTTTATGATAAAAATTAAAAAAAAAGATAAAAAGTGTATTTGATATTGAATATAGAGAGTACAAAATTTAGAAGCATACAACAATATTTGCGGACATATCTAACTAGGCATATAATACATAAAGACTGTTTATTTTGAACACAATATATTTTCATAATCTTTTAAATGATAAATAAAAAATAAATTTCAATGATAAGTCATTATTATTATGGAAACAATTTGGATTGATGAATATTTCCAGATGCACCTTTATTAAAGTTCTAATTTCACCTTTAGACTTGAAGAGGAAGTTGCACAAAAGTCGATTAAATAGATGAAAAGCTCGATTTCTACTAACAGCAAAATTCATTTAAAGTTATTAGACAAAAACCTGAGTCTTAAAATTTATGGGTTAATTGATTTTCACCTCAAGATATAATCAATATAGAAATAGTTCCAAACAACATGAAATTCTCAAGACAGTTACAAAGATCGTTACAAATTATATTTAATGCTCGATGGCACGCAATGCACTTCTTTCAAACTAATGCCGTTATTCAGAATAATTGAGCAATTATTTAAAGATATATCAATTTGAAAGCACTTAAATGCTTTTTTTCAGATCATCGAATTAAATTGATGACAATTAATTGATTAGCCTAGTTACTAAACAATTAGTAGCAAGGTACTATTATAGAGCAGACTTTGACAAGCATTTTCGAAGACTATCAGGTGGAAATTTTAATTAAGATTATAAAAGATCTTTTTCATCATGATTTCATCATTCATTTTTCTCTGAATATTGCAAAATATTATAAATAAAAAAATAACCAAAAATTTAAATACACATAAAATTAGCTATAAACATCAAGAACAAGACCAAGAGGTATGGTAGCACAAGTTCAAAAAGTGTGAAAAAATGTATAAAAATACAAAGTATTAATAGTAATAAAATAGGCCATATAAACAAGGAAAGAAAATCTAATCATTGATTTGTGGTGCTCCCACACCATGGACCTGCCTTTGGACAAACTACTATTTATTATTATTAAGAACATCAATAGAAGGTACTAAACTATTCCAAAAGTACAAAATACTTTCATCAAATTTAAAATATTTTCACAAATAAATATTTGGCTTGGATTTATAATATGATTTGAAAAAAAAACATTTTATGATTCAAAATATAAAAGGAGATGAGCCATATGTAGACCAGATAGTTTTCCTTTAAAATCGAAAACTGATAGTTCATTGACTCATTGTAATAATGAGAGTGAACAAAATTTTAAATTAAATAAAAATGTACGAAAATCTTCCTAATCAACCACTAATTTGTTTCTAATTTACTGGACAAATATTTGAAGCTATTATCACGCCATTGATGTCATGTTGTTATTCTAAAATTAGAAATACTATCCCAAGAATTTTTATAGTGGAAAAATGATGCAATATGATGTAACTTAATTCACATATAGAGATAAGGAGCAAAAACAGCAACTATTTATAATTTTATATAAATTACCAACACAACTGATAATTATATAAAACTTTATTTAGATGCAACGACTACTTAATTGATATATCAAATTAAAATAAATAAAAAATGGTACGACTAAGAACTAATACCCGAATAAGTTTATTTAATATTGAGCATTTTACGTTATGAATGAGTAAGTTAGAGAATATTAAGCTGGTTGGAGGTTCACAATACATATATTCTTACAAATTTATGAAAAACAAAAAAATATATTTTCAACCCTCATTGTAGAATATATCATTGTATCATTATTCTGAAAAATTTACAAGTGTCGTTTTAAAATGCGAACACTGCAATTTGTGGTTTTTATAATATTGAATATAAAGAATATTTATGAAATTGATAGTTACCAGACATGAAAGTTAATAAAAAGTTATAATGATATACCAAAAAGTATAATTTTTTTTTAAAAAAAATCCAGTATCATTATAACTTATCCCCCTATACTAAATAATTCATTTAATAGTTTATTCAAAGTATTCAATTTAATTCTAGGAAAAGCTTGTAACTGATAATATCATCAATTTGTACTCGGTGGTGTAATTTAAGTAAGAGCTAATAAAATAACATGGATTAATGGATTATTTATTAGAAAACAAGAATACTTTACTGCAAGACATGTTTATACATGAAATTTTCGTCCAATAGAATAGCTGAATTATTTTTTGAAAACTATATAGCAGATGGAAGTCTTACTTGATATTTCTAATTTAAATCCATTGTCCAAATAAAGTTTAATTTATTTATATGTATATGTACAAGTATACTTATGTATATATGTATATTTATTATGTATATTCATATGTATGTATATGTATATGTTTATTAAAAATTTATTATATGAATAGACTACGGATAGACTAAACAACTACGATTGAAAGACTCAAAAGTATAAATATTTATAATCTTCTATTTTTATCCAATAATATTCTATTTTTAACTTCCCGTAGGGTAAGTTACAGTAATCGCAAACAAAATCGTGAATGAAAATTTTTATATATGTTTACGTTTCAAAGGTTTCTGAATATTTTGGCATACCTCAGAAAAAATGGATTTATGTATATGTGTGTATGTGGGTGTGTGCGGATACAAATTTTCGTCGACGATTTCGAGAACAGCGATCAACCGATTTGAATAATTCAAAAAACATTCTATTCCTATTGATAAGCAGACGTGCTAATTAGCTTTTGGCGAATGCAGGTCTAGCCGTTTCGAAGATACGGAGCAAAGAGTGTAAAAATGGCAGGTTCTGAGAGAACAAATTGAGTGATTCAAACAACATTCGATTCGTATTTATGTGGAGATGTACGGATTAGTTTTTGTTATAGGCAGGTCCAGCCGTTTCGAAGATATAGAGCAAAAAGTGCAGAATTTCCGTTTAGATCCTAGACATTTAGATAGAGCATGTCGTTATAGCTCAGTTGGTTGGCGCGTCATTGCAATTTTCGTTCGCGTTAGAAATAAAATATGCATTTGAAATAAAATATGATCATTTTAACAATAAGTCCGCTTAATTAGATTCAAGTTTTCACATTTTGTCTACAGGGAACAAATAATGAAAATTCCAGTTTTTATAATATTTATACATAGACATTTTTGTTGGCTGATTATTTTTATTCTTCAAATGTTTAATTACGGTACTGGAAGTTCCAGCAATTTGCCTTAAAGCACGATGTCCCACTAGTATTCGTCAGTTATTGATTTTTAAAATATAAATACATTTTTGAATTTAAATTCAGATACATATATCTTATTGCACAATATGAAAAAAGGATTTACTATATTCCATATTTTAAGCATTACAATCCTGCATAATTCAATTTTTCTCATCATTAAATTAAACAACATATTTTGTGCAATTTCAAAATTTTATATGTATTTATTAGATTATTATTTTACTAGTATGTACTCAATAACTTTATTTTCAGTATATTTGACTATCTTGGATTTAGTGATTACTTATCTCATATCTAAAAATGCAAAAATAATAATGAATGCTAAAGGAAATGATTTCACAAAAAGTGAGTGGATAAAAATAATTACCCTGCAGTTTCTATAGATCTTTAAAATTCATTGTTTTTATCAATCAATACTTCCGTTTTATATTTAATTTTAATTATATATGACTAATTAAGGCCAGTAATATTGTAAATTCAATTTTTCTAAAGTAAATGTACACTTTATAATGTTTTACTGTGTCAGTAAAGTTCCGTT